ATCAGCATCCTTATTTCTAAACTCTGTCCGAAAAATTAGCAGCTATTGCCAATGTCCATTTAGCTATCAGCCCTCTGAAAGAGACATAGGAGAGAAAACCATGTACGAAGAATGCACTAGGTCTTTCTGCAATCCCCTGTCTGTGCAAATGAAGTCTACTTCTTAGAAGGTGGATGTGATCCTTGTGTTGAATTTGAAGCCATGCTCTATTTTCCTAGTATACAGACATTAATACTCTGGGACTCTTGATATTTCTATATGAAAAACTTCTGTTTTTATTAATCATACCTAGTGGCAATAAATAGCTCCTAGTACCAAAGGATAAGAAAGACTGTGGCAAGAAATGCATATTTTATTCATAACATCTATTTCTAATTTAAAATATATGTGTATGTATTTGGAGTAAATATATGTATGTTTTATGTTTATATTTATATATACTAAATATATATTAAGTGTGTATAATATAAATATATGCTATACATTAAATTCATATATTTACCTAAATATATGTATTATATATTTAGGTAAATTATTGTTACTTGTCTTAGTCCATTTGGGCTGCTATAGCGCAATACCACAGACTGGGTGGCTTATTAACAACAGAAATTTATTTCTCACAGGTCTGGTTGCTAGGAAGTTCAATATCAAACACTTGCAGCTTTGGTGTATGGTGACACTTGCTTCCTCATAGTCAGCTGTCTTCTCACTGTGTCCTCCCATGGCAGAACGGCAAGGGAGCTTTTTGGGGTCTCTTTCATTAGGACACTATGGCACTCATGAGGACTCCACTCTTATGACCTAATCAACTCTCCAAAGGCCCCGTCTCCTGATACCATCACCATTGTTACCAAACAAAAGCAAAAAACAGAAGCTTGGCTGCCTGTCGCCACAAAAGCCAAACTCAACTCATGAGGCAGATGCTAGTGCAAAAGGAAGAGCTTTTCCTCAGGTGCTGCTCAATCTGGGAGAATAGCAGACTCCTGCCTCGAAGCTCATCTCTTTAGCAAGACCAACACAAAGTCTAGTATCCAGACCTGCTCCAAATTAAAGTATAATCCTTTGGAGCCTTCAGGTGGCTACTAAGTGGTCATCCAGTTAATTTAGCTTGTTCCCGACTGCTGTCCGTGGTCCATGCAGCTACTAGGACCTCAAGGTCACATAGTCCCAGGCCAGAGAGCATGCAATGCACCAGCAAATGCATCACCAGGTAGGAGAGGGACAGGCAGGCAGGCAGGCAACCAGGCAGAGAGAAAAAGAGAGAGAAAGAGGCTTCCTCCTGGAAACCATGGGCCCACATGGCTACTAAGCCCCATGGCAAAACAGGCCAGTGCACGGTGCCAGTGCAGGTCATTAGCCAGTAAGCCACAGACACCTGTGAGAGCCAGAGGGCATTTCTTTGTTCCCCTGGGACTACATTAGCTTGGGTGTGAGACAGACCGGGTGCTTTCTCACACTTTGGGTGGGTCCGCCTCCCAACCAATCCCTTCTTCCCCAGGCTAGACTGAGAAGCCTCTTTGGTCCAGAACCGCCCCATGCTGCCATTTTGACTTCTATGTCACCTGTGCCTGACTCCCCCTGGTCCCACCCCCAATCTGGTATTGGAAGGTAGGAAGGAGGGCTTTTGCCTTTCCCAATTATTTTGTTTATTATTTTTAAATACGTGCCTTGCACGTATTTAGTGTAAGAACCCTCCCCTGCCACCATCTTGGCCAGGCAAGGAGACTCCCCAGCTCCAACCGACCATCCGCCCCAGTAACACGATGGTGGTTACTTATAATTTCAGCATAAGAATTTGAGGGGGATATAAACATTCAACCCATCGCATTGCTCATCATTCTTTATTCATTTTAATTATCAGGTGCTATTTATTCAATGATGACAAATCATATCCTTTCAAAAATTCTCTGAGGGTATTGACCTGCAAAAGAGTAAGTAGAAAAGAACAAAACAATCTTGGTGCATGTTCTGGCAAATGGGACATCCAGCTTTCCTGGTCGTCTCCCCACTCCAGTGAGCGGTGTGGAGCCACCGGGAATGACTGCTGAGAATCCTGCTGCTAAGCGCTGGGTAGGAGAGCAGGAGAGCTATTACGATGCTCCTGAGTCCTCCCCAGCGCAGCATGTTCCTCATAGATGTGTCAGGCTGCCGTCACTCTCTGAGTGTGAATTCCATTCACTACTAAGCTATGATTGTTGACAAAGAAAAGAAAGAATGGAAAAAACGGAAAGCATTACTGAACGCTCAGCAGTGCTAGGCACTGTGGGTGCACTCCCATTACCCCTTCAGGGCCAGGAGCATCAAAGAGTGAAGACAAGTGAATCCCTGAAAGAGGCAGATGCTAGGCCTCCACCTCCACCCCCACCAGGAGTATATTTTATCCCTCAGGGCCTAAGTCAAGCTATCCTGGCCCCCGTTGGAGCATTGTTAAATGTCTTCTCATTCAAGATGAATAGAATTTAAGCAGGCAAGAGGGAGATTTCAAAGCCCTCACTGCTGCTAAAATGTCAGAGCTGAAGAAAGCCCAAGATTGCCTTTCCATCCCGGCCCAAAATAAATTGTCCCCCGCCTAAGAAAAACTCAACTTCAAAGGCAGTTCTTGGAGTTCACAACTACCATGGTAGCTTGGATGGCAGCTTTGAAATGTTAACTGGTTAACATTTATGTTTTTCCTTAAAGATTTACTGTTCATTTGAACTGACTGCAAAAGTGAACAGTACACATTTCTTTTCTAATGAATAATTTAAAATGCAGTATGTATACTACCTGGGGTAGAAAATACATGCTGAGCTGTAAATTATTTGTTTTTAAACATATAAGTATTTTCATTCAATTCAAGCTATTGAATTGTGCACCTACTATGTACCATAAGCCACATCAGATACCGCTATTGCACACATAAAAAAGGATTGAATCCTCGTTTAAAGTTTTTAGTGTAATACAAATCAGTAATGCTGTGTAAGAAATCAGTCCCCAACTCAGTATTTTAGCTCGCATATCTGCGACTCACCTGGGCATCGCTTGCCCCCAGCTGGTCTAGGTTAAGCTTCACTCCCAGCAGCAGGGTGGGGCCAATTCTGTCTACTCAATGGGACTCTCCTCACCCTACGATCAGTGAACTAGTCTGGCATGGTTTATTTTTCATTGCGATAGAAAAGCACCTGAGGGCAAGCCCAACCATATCGATGGCTTTGGGCACATTGCATTCCCTGGAATTCACTGGCCAAAGCAAGTCCCAGGGCCAAGCCCAGTATCACTAGACCAAGGAAATAGACTCTGCCTGGGAGAAATTGCAAAGTCATGTGATAAAGGATGTGGGGATACAGGGCGGGATGCAAAATTGATAAAAATCCTACAATCAAGCACATTAGGGAAAGATCAGTTTAAAATGCCTGTATAACAAAGGGCAGGGATTCAGAAAGGAAGGAATTATTTCTCAAAGACACCAAGAAGATGTTCTTAGAGAAGGAGGCAGTTGTGCTCAGTTGCAAAAGGCGTTTGTATTTCAAGAGGCAGGCAGAGTGGGTAGAGGCAGACAATAATTCAAAGAGCCTCCATGAGCAAACATTTGCAGTGTTAGGTTAAAGCAGTAAATCAAAAGAAAAAAATATATTGCATTAAAAAAAGCATTTGAGTATGAAAACTACAAATAGACAATCAGTGGAAATTTAGGTGTCAGGATTTTGTGTGTTATATGTTATTACTGGAAGTGCTTTGGAAAAAAAAAACGAGTGTGAGAAAATCCCTAAGGTATGAAATGTGGAAAAACACACAAGGATATAATTTTTAAGTCTTTAGAGCTATAATTGGAACTGGAAATGACTTAGAAATCATCTAGCCCAACTCACTGCCTCACAGATGAGGAAATTTGTATTTTGGAGGGAAAAAAAACACTCTCTCTCTCTCTGTCTCTCTCTTTCTCTCTGGGGGAGGGCGTGTATAAGGTATATAAAATATATAAATACATTTAGAGAGAATAAATGTCTTCCTAGATAAATATATCCACCTACAATGTAAAATATATATTTATGGAGAATGCATTCTTTCTCATACATATATAGAGAGGTGGGGTATGTGAAATGAGCAGGCTCCTTATAATAACTTTCTGAAGAAGATAACCCCTCATAAACTTAAAAACCACTGTGTCCTCATCAAGTGAGCTGTCTGGTTCCAAGGAACAAAATATGACTCGCATTGTTCAAATGCAAAGGGAAGGGGTTGTTAATAAGAAGGAAAAAATAAATATTGTCACAGATATTCAATGCTTGGAAGTACCATCTGAAATCTAACAAAAAGGGGGGTTCTCCGCAGACCCAAGCCCCCTAATTTGGGACACAGTTACCAAAAGATGGGGGGCTGGCTAGGGCTCAGGTGAGGACAAAGACAGGAAACTTTCTACACCACCCACTGGCCTCACTTCATTTCTGAAACTCATTCTCCTTGTTTGTAAATGAAGCATATTTTTTGCCTAACCAAAATATAATTAGAAAATTAAATCAGTTTGTGTTCATAATATATGAAGCCCCTTCCCAGAATAGAAATAACGAAACTTTTAAGTTGTGCCCTTTAGATAATCACCATTCACGTAGATCAGAGGTCAGCAAATTATGACCCTCAGGCCAAATCCAGCTGGTCTATTCTCATAAAACACATTTTATTGCAACTACCACCCCTGGTTTTTTTTCACATATTGTTCGTGGCAGCTTTATGCACAACTGGCAGGGTTGAGTAATTGCCACAGAGACGGAGCCCATAGGCCTGCAGTGCCTCCAGTATTTTATTATCTGGCCCCTTACAAAAAAGTTTGCCCACCCCTGGTGCAGAGGATGAGCCCCTTTTTGGAACTGGTGAAACTTGCATGAGCTCCTGCCTCTGGTGATGGATTCAGCAGGGTCTGCCCAGGATGGGTATCAGTGGAATGATAGTGTCACCCGGCTCCTGCCTCCTTCAGGGGCTCCACTGGGGCCATCATTAACCCTTTGCTCTCTGTCCTTTGCCAGACTCCGACCTGAGCATGCGCACACTGAGCACGCCCAGCCCAGCCCTGATATGTCCACCGAACCTGCCCGGATTTCAGAATGGAAGGGGTTCGTCCACCTCCTCGTCCTCCATCACCGGGGAGACTGTGGCCCTGGTCCACTCCCCTCCCCCGACCCGCCTCACCCACCCGCTCATCCGGCTGGCCTCCAAACCCCAGAAGGAGCAGGCCAGCATAGAGCGGCTCCCGGACCACTCCATGGTCCAGATCTTCTCCTTCCTGCCCACCAACCAGCTGTGCCGCTGCGCCCGCGTGTGCCGCCGCTGGTACAACCTAGCCTGGGACCCGCGCCTCTGGAGGACTATCCGCCTGACGGGCGAGACCATCAACGTGGACCGCGCCCTCAAGGTGCTGACCCGCAGGCTGTGCCAGGACACACCCAACGTCTGTCTCATGCTGGAAACCGTAACTGTCAGTGGCTGCCGGCGGCTCACGGACAGAGGGCTTTACACCATTGCCCAGTGCTGCCCAGAACTGAGGCGCCTGGAAGTCTCAGGCTGTTACAATATCTCCAACGAGGCTGTCTTTGATGTGGTGTCCCTCTGCCCCAACCTGGAGCACCTGGATGTGTCAGGTAAAGGGCAACCAACCTCCCACCACTGAGGTCTCCCCAAAGCACCGTCCCAAAGCAGTAGACAACAGTGCCAGCTTGGGAGGGGCCACTTCTTGATAACCGTCAAAGTGAGGGTGGGTGTGACAGGAGCTAACTTCCAGAGAAACCGTCTCTGTGTAATCAGGACCCCGGAGGCCAGAGGTATCTCTTCCATCAAATAATGTCAACTTCTTAGAAGAACTAGAGGCATCTTTTTTATCTGGCACTTTAAGTTAGAATGACTTTTCAATGTTTCTCTGCCCCATAACTTCGAGTTATTTCAGAGCAACCACAGGTAATTGGAAGCAAGTACCCTATCAGAGGTAAATAGGACCCAGATACCTCACTCAGGCACAGGGTGTTGAACACTGCTCTGACATCCATGGGTTATTGTTCTACAGAGCCCGCGAGCGGCGCAGTGGGCAAGTGTCTCTTTATATTTCACCCCAACTCTCCCCTGTGGATTGATTCTGTAGCTTTTCTTAAGCAAAATTCTCAATTACGTAGTCCAAAGGTAAGGCCTAGTGAGTGGGGCTTTTAGTTCTTTTCAAAATTGAGGGCAGTCGTAGCACGGATGCTTTGCTCAAAAACCTCTCTCAGGCAGGAAGAATTAAAACCCAGACTCACACTTTGGCGCCAGACATGGATCCGGCCAGACTCATAGCCTCCCTTTATCTCATCTGCTGCTCGGTGAAAAGATGAGCGTTCGAGGCGCTGAAATGTGTAAGATGCATCAGGGAGTTAAAGAAATGAGCAGCATGAGCCCCAACTTTAGGGACAGTTGGGGGAGGGGCCATGAAGTAAAAACCACTGTAATGGGCACGTAAACAGAATTTGGGATTTACAAGCATCTGAGGTAAATGATACCCTCTGAAAAAAACGGAGGTAAAAGCCAGCTCTCTCAGCTTGCTCTCTCTTTCGAGAGCCGACATCTGAAAATATTTCAGATGACAGTCAATTATTTTGCGCAGATTCTTTCCCTTGCTGGCAAGCAACTCTTTGCTCCCCTCCTCAGCTGGCTTCAGTACAAAACCGTAGTAACCGTATGTTCAGTCTTGAGTGGCCATTGGCATAAAGAAGCAGGAAACGAAGAGATTTTCTTACATTTTTCCTCCAAGGAATTCTGGAAAGAGAAAGCACTGTGATGTGGTGGAAACTCATTTCAAAACCTTGTGATCTGGGACAATTCGCAGCTTTCTCTAGATGTGTTTCGTCTTTGGTTCAAAAAAAAAAAAAAGGTGGGGGATTGGACGCTTTAACATTCTAAGATTCTGGGCATTATGGACCTCTTTTATAAACACCTCATTTTCTTTTCCTTTCACTGATTAGGAAATGATTTATTTTTGGAATCCCCATCTTCATTAAAGGGACTCCCCATGCAACCTTAGTACAGGCTGCAAGCCATTGTGCCCTGTCTTTTAGAGTCCTGTTGAAATTCAATGCAAAAACTACTTTGGCTATTTGAGAATGGAAATTCCTGGGCTTCTAGCCTGAGTGAGAGGGTCATGCTTAGCCTCTTTGACTAACTGTTATGTAAGTCTTGATGCCCTTCCTCTAGACCAGTCTGACTGATTTGCAGATCCAAATATACAGGGTTTGGCAGAAGTAACACCTGCTTGAGTGTGGTTGGTAGGGTAATAACATGGGTGTAATAATTTATAGTTTTAATTTGAACATTTCTCCTAAAATGTCACATCGTGTGCTTGAGTGTGATACTGTTATGTTACAGAATTACATGCTTATGATTTTGCAATTAAAAAAAAGGGGGCGTTATTTGTGCCGGACCCTGTATTTCTATAGGTCGTCACACATCTCCCCAAAACCTCCTTTATGATATGTGTACATAAAGACCAAAGCAAAGGGACTCTGTAACTCACCAAGAGCACAAAATTTTAGTTTGGGGGGGCAGGGGAAGAAGGATTTTCACATAGATGGACTTAAAAGATCCAACAAGCCCTGAGGATGAATTTATCACTACCTCTGAAAGACGCCCTCCATTTCTGAGGAAATATGGACATTGTTATCTTGATACAGGGAGCAGCCAGAGAGCTGTCGCAGGTACTTTCATCTATGCCTTGCTCTCCTTGGTTTTTCCAGCTGGCCTCTGAGAGCGGGCATCTTCTCAAAGGCGATAAACTTGGCTGTGGAAGACTCATTGCTGGTCTAGATCTTAATTGCTCCCGAGGACGGGAGACTGCTTCTCCTGTCTCCAGCAATGCAGAAAATGCCCACCTTGAAAGCTATCTTTTCAAGCCAGTGAAAATTACTGTAACTAGCTGTAGTGGTTTTTGTTTTTTTTTAATTATCACATTTTACCTTTTATAAATGTTTAGTCAGGGTTCTCAAGAGAAACAGAAGCAACAGTGGATCAAGAGTCAAGAAACTTTGCCCTAGCTTCACTGAGCCTGAGATGTCCCATCTTTAAAACATGAAGGTTAAACTGGATGATTTCTAAGGTTCCCTCTATATCTGTAATGTATGAATGCATGAACCAGCCATAGATATTACCTGCTGAGCCATGGACCAATTTCTTTTCAACCCAGACTTAACAAATCTGTAAGCATTAAAGCTAAAGTTAAATTTCAAAATTATTGATCTAAAATAAGCATGAAAAAAGGGTCTCTTTACCAAAACTGAGCTAAACTAGTATTTCATTAAATTTGGAACTAATTTTCAAAAACAAGGATGTATTCCTTGGACCGAATACAGTATCTTTCCTGGAGGGCAACAAATTTTGCTCGATATTTAAAATGTATATGTATAAAAATAACAAAACTAAGTATTTAAGAACAAAGTTTGTCATATACTCTAGAAAAACAAAGTGCCTTCACAGGCATCAGAGATGGGCAACCACTACTGTGGACATACAAATTCAGTGTAAGCAGGATCACAGTTAAACTAGAAAGAGAAACTCAAAACAAAGGAAGATTTCAAAGCCGAAGTTGAGAAGTACCAACCACCTTCTGCAAAACCACAGAGCCCACAGGAGCAGCGTGGGGAGCCTCTGACAAGTGGCATCTTTGTTCTCCAGCGTTGCATTGTATGCTTTACTCCTTCCTGAAATTCTTTGACTTAGTAGCACATGGCTTTTGAATCTCCTTTCTCCCACGACCAGAATTTTACATGAGTTTCCTGGGCAGCCTGCCAGGAGGTGGGAGGAAAGTCCCAGTTAGCACTATTATGCAGCTGCTTGGAAACCTTGGATATTAGGTGAGCAGCAAGGCACAGAGGTGCCAGAGGTGAGGCACCCAGCTTAAGACCTGCCCAAGGGATTTGGGTAGGGAAGAGAGAAAGTGAGCAGTCTGTGGAGTGAATGAATTATATATACGTATGCATTTATTTCTATACTATACAGACTTATTAGTTAATATATAATATTCTTTATTTTATATAATAAAAATATATTGTGCACATTTTACGTGGTAATATATAGTGAACTGAATTATACAATAAGTGTTTCATATGTTATATAAATATATAATAATTATATAATATATAGTATAAACATGTATATAATTTATACACACACAGGGAAGAGGGGTTAGAAACAATGTTTAAGGAAGCATCCAAAGGTATCTTCCTGAACTTAATTTCCTTATCTTTGTAGACTTCATAATTTAACACAAATGAAAGGGATTATGATAAAATAGACAACTATTATTCAATGTAGATACATCAACCAGGGTCGAAGTCCTGAGGACATTTAAATGTTGGAAATCAGATTATCCTACCTGATCTTCCTGTAGAAGACTCTGTTCACTCTACAGGTCATTCATTCATTCATTCATTCTACAGGTATTTAGTGAGCACCAGCTATATGACCCAGGTGTGAAGGATACAGCAGTGAACAGCCCTGAGTTCCTTTTCTCAGAAGCTGACATTCCAGAGGGGGGAGTTCAGATACAAAAATGAACAAATAAATATAGAATGCCACAAAGTATTGGCAGAGAGTGCTGAAAATGAATGGGAGTCAGACAGGGGATACTGGTTCATACAGGGCAATCAGGAAGGAATTGTCCGGTAAGCTGACCTGTGCTCAGAGACTGAAGAAAGAGGGGGCGGGCCCATGGAGATCTGCGAGAGCCTTGTCCAGTGCTCGACCCTGAGGCAGGAGGATGCACGAGGAGTGTGCAAAATAGCAAGGTGGCCAGTGGGGTCGAAGGCATGAAGTAAGCGGTACGGTCAGAGTGCACAGGGTGCAGGTCCTTGAGGCCCTCCGAGGCTTTGTATTTTACACTGGGAGTGAGGCAAGTGCCATCCAAAGGCCTTGGGCAGAGCGACCTGACTGCAGTTCTCTCTTTTCTATAATGTCTCTGGCAGCTGTGAGGTGACTGGAAGGTTGGGGGTGAGGCAGGGCGGGGAGACTGGCAGAGGGGCTAGAACAACAATCCAGATGACACAATTATTCTTTCTTTACCAAGAAGAGTTGAATCCCCAGATGGTCACCTTGTTAGACTAATAACTACGTGTATTTCCCATAGAGCTTTTGAAGTATGTCCCTATCCGTTATCTGCTTTTGCATCCTCATTTTCCCATGTCAGAGGCACACCTACTGTTGGCCCCCATGTTCTAAGGAAAGTCTTGAGACAGAAAAGTTAAGCCTCTTGCCTGAAGCCATAAAAAAATAGACTTGAAACATGTGTGACTCCCAATCAGAGTTCTTTTTGCCAAAGGACAAGGCCAAGCTTTCTCTCACATATGACACTTCTTTGGACCAGAGAGCTACCAAACCATTGCACCAGACCATTCCAGGGAAAAACCTTTACTGAGCTTCCAGAACGTTCCAGCACAAAGGCAAGATATTTACACAAATGTCTCATTTCTTCTTCACTGCCACCTTTCAGGGAACGTTGTTGTCCCCCTTTTAAGACAAAGGAAATACTCAGAAGGCTTGATTTGCCCGTGTCTGGCAACTAGGGATGGTCTGGAATTGGAACCAAGGTCTTTCTGCTTCTAAAGCCCTTGAATCCCCTTAAGCCCGGATAAAGTAGTTTTAAACAATCAATCAAGAACCCACTTTTGCTCTCCTCTGTAGAGGCCAAGTAGAGAAGGGATAACGTGGGGATCCGGCTCGGGGGAGGGGCAGGAATCTGTGATGCCCCGACCAGGGCGAGTCCCCCAACCCCATTCCCGGCGGTTGCTCTGAGCGTGTGTTCTGTCTCTCTGTGTAGGATGCTCCAAAGTGACCTGCATCAGCTTGACCCGGGAGGCCTCCATTAAACTGTCCCCCTTGCATGGCAAACAGATTTCCATCCGCTACCTGGACATGACCGACTGCTTTGTCCTGGAGGACGAGGGCCTGCACACCATCGCGGCGCACTGCACGCAGCTGACCCACCTATACCTGCGCCGCTGCGTCCGCCTCACCGACGAGGGCCTCCGATACCTGATGATCTACTGCACGTCCATCAAAGAGCTGAGCGTCAGCGACTGCCGCTTCGTCAGCGACTTCGGCCTGCGGGAGATCGCCAAGCTGGAGTCCCGCCTGCGGTACCTCAGCATCGCGCACTGCGGCCGGGTCACCGACGTGGGCATCCGCTATGTCGCCAAGTACTGCAGCAAGCTGCGCTACCTCAACGCGAGGGGCTGCGAGGGCATAACGGACCACGGCGTGGAGTACCTCGCCAAGAACTGCACCAAACTCAAGTCCCTGGACATCGGCAAGTGCCCTCTGGTCTCCGACACGGGCCTGGAGTGCCTGGCCCTGAACTGCTTCAATCTCAAGCGGCTCAGCCTCAAGTCCTGCGAGAGCATCACGGGCCAGGGCCTGCAGATCGTGGCGGCCAACTGCTTCGATCTCCAGCTGCTCAACGTCCAGGACTGTGAGGTGTCCGTGGAGGCCCTGCGGTTTGTGAAACGCCACTGCAAGCGCTGCGTCATCGAGCACACCAACCCTGCCTTCTTCTGAAGGGACGGCTCCCGTCTGGCGCTGTTTTCAGACAAACATGAACAAAGCGAAATGTGTTTTTCTAAAGCAGCATATGTAAGCACCAACACCCACTCATAACAGCTCTTTCTTACAGGAAGGTTCTTAGGCTTCTGGCTTTTTTTTTTTTTTTTTCCTAATTTCCTGGGGCAGCAGAGGGCAGGGAAAGGAAGGGGGTGGGGTGGACCAAAGTTCTGTTACAGTAAACGGTTTTGTTGTTCACCTCATTTGCAGGCGGTTTCTGTTCTCACAACAGATGTACCTCCGAAAGCTGATTCAGTGTCTTTGGAGACATCCCTTTTTGTCTCTGTCCTCTCTTGAACACATTTCCAGGGTTCTATACCCCATCCCTCATCCCCCCATCCCTCATCCCCCCATCCCTCTGCCTCCAACAGCAACAACGAATCATCCGAAGAATAATTCTGTCCATACCTCCTCCTCCTTCTCCTTATGCTTGATTGGCCTAAGCCACACATTTCAGTCCCACACCCTAGCAGATTCTTATTAAATTCATGTCACAGCACCTGATACATACAAAGTACTTCCAGACAGTTTCAAAGGATCCCTTGCAACAAGCAGCGCGGTAGAGGAGGAGATCTGCACTCTGCCACCGACCAGCGCTGTGATCTTGGACAGAACATATGACCACTCTGGGCTTCAGTTTCTGGCACTAAATCAGAGACCATCCAGCCCAAGAACTAGCTTGATGCCCATTTTAGAATTGAAGAAACTGAGATGTCATTAAACAGAAGTACCTTGGCATAGAGCACACAGGCATCTACTACCTTCTCCAAGGGTACAAATTCCAGGGATGCTTTCAGAAGATTCAGAAATGCCCATACCAGTGTCCTGCATGTCCTTCACTCCAACCTGAGTATCACTCCCATCCCTGTTTGTTTGGGTGGGTGGGTCTCTCAGGCATCTTCTTCTACCCTGCTAGGTCAGCCCACAACGCCAGCCCACTTAATACCATCATGAAATTTGTAATCACAGAAAGGTTCATACCCCCCGGCCCATACTTTCAAATGGAGAGTTTTCACATGGAGGAAAGACCCTCACCATTTTTAAGTAATAAGTGAGGCCCCAAAGAGCACAGTCCTGTAAGGTTTTTCTAACTCCTCTCGGTGCACACGAGGCCTGCATCACGCACATCTGCCCTGCAGCTGACAGGAACAGGCATCTCAGTTCATTGTCATTCCGATCACATTTCTACTTTTCTCATCTATTTATTATTTTGTGCATCCAGACTTCATCACATAAAGCCTGTTGGAGTTAAGTCAATAACGTTTAATTGTGCAGACTGCCACTTTGTGTGTCTTCCCCTGTGGCTGTCTGCATGTTTTCTGTCAAAGAATGCAGGGCAGGCTTCCAGGTGTTCGAATACCGTTCACTCGGAAATGCCAGGCAAATGGAAGAGGGAACACATTGATAAAGCTTAGGCACTGGTTTACCAGCCAGAGCCCTGGAAAAGAGCATTAAAGTCATTGCCAAGTATGAATTTTAAAGGTCCTATTTGGATAAAAATCCATTTGCTAGCCGCATTCATGTGGAATCAGGATGCCAGAAGAAATTCCATTGCTTATTTTCATGAAATTGAGTTGCCTTTTGTCAATAAACACATGACCTTTCCCAAATTATTATATGGCCACACCCCTCCTCCATCAGTGTTCAGATCACCCATCCTTTCTTTCTCAAAGTGTCCACCATCCAAACCCAGAACCTCTGCATCCCCAAAACAAGGACTTGGCATTTGTTTCAGATCAAGCTCTCACACCGCTCGACAACTGCCCTCCCACTGTAGGCTCCCTGCGTCCCTTTGTCTTTTGTTGGGAAGGGGTAGAATGAGGTGGCGTCTCCCCAGGAGATTTCTTTCATGCATCATGTGAAATACTGTTTTCTCTCCGGTCAACATCATCAACAAATTGGATGTGCAATCAAGGCCACAGGGGGAAGGGAGAGAGAAATTTTTTGGCTGGAGATAGTATCTCGTGATGGCCGTAGAGTGTAGAATCATAGAAACAGTTGAAGGTAGCATTCCCTTGCTGTGTGATATGTGACCTTGTCTAAAGCTTCAGAATTTGAGAGTCAAAGAGGATCAATCCCAACCCTTGGCATGGGGGTCTTCCAAGTGAGCTGTTTTCATGCTCCCAGAATGGGAAAGGAGGTCCAAAATGGCTCCCTGAACCAGAGAAAGGAAGTCCTAATGCAAATATTTTTTATCACCACCACCTGACCACAACATCTACACTGTCTTCCAAACATGAGACAAAGACAACTTTCATACTGACTGCCCAGCACATACTGTCTTACCCAGTTTCTCCCTTTCCCCCAATCTTCTTTTCCATTCTGCTTCCCCTTGGGGTGTGAATCTCTGACAGAGGTTCCTGGGGAAATAGCTCAGCAGATTTTGAGAGACCAAACAAAAGGCCTCACTAGGAAATTTATCTGTTTTAAAACATTGCTTCCTTCCTGCCTCTGCTAAATTGAATGCTCATTGTTTTGTTTTGTTTCTTTATCCTAATGTTCAAATCACTGCGTGCTGTACGAATCTAGAAAGCCTTAATTTACTACCACCAAGAAATAAAGCAATATGTTGGTAATTGGGTCAAGCCTCATTAATATCCTGGCCGAGGAGCATGGTGTTCAGATGGGACACTCAAAAGTGAGTAAGAAACTTGCCTTATGTTAGAGAGCAAGTCAGATCACTGCGGCCGTTGTCCCTGTAAAGTTGCATCCACAATTTTGTCATTTCCCTTGGCTCAGTGACTTTGACTGAAAATTAACAAGTAAGTGAAAAGTCTTAACCTTCACAGTTTAGTGCAGGTCTTCAATTCCTTAACCCATACTTGCCAGATATATTTTGGAATTCATAATTTTTCATGTTTTAGGAAGCTATCGGTGGCATATTTTGTAACACACCTAGTAGAGTCCGGCATGGCACCCTTCATTAAACATATTAATATTTCTGCATCAGATAATTGAAAACTACAAATAGCTTGCATACCTTCAGGTCAGGTTCTATCACCAATTAATTTGTGCCAAACATAATGTTTTTTAAAAGCTTCTATTTTTTTTCAAATCTTTCTATATTTCAGAATTATGAGTAAGTAACTATGCATCTAATTATACGCTTCCTGGCACTGATTACAAATATTGGAGAAATCTTCAAAATTACATTGACCATTAGTTATTATAAGTTAAAAAAATAAAAAAGTCTTAGAACATTAAAACCTGGAAAAGTAATATGGCAACTTGATCTAAAAGGAGTTTATCAATCAGTTGGAAAAAAAGAAATACCAAATCTCTACTCACCCAGACCTTTAGATCTGAGAATCAATATGACAGAAAGCAAGTACTGACAGATGAAATGCAAATTTCATCTTTAACAAATAAAAAGGTTTTAGGAGATACCGACTTTATTTGTCCTCAACCTTCTCACTCTATGTGAGCTGCTTAATGACTCTCATATAAACCAAAAGGGCTGCTAACTTCCTTGGAGCACTAACTTGAGGTAAGACCCATGTATCTTGTCAGTATCTTAGAATAAGGGTGGCAGTAAATTAAATTCATTTTCCCCTTATATTTGTTCAGAATTAGGAAAAGTCTTGAAGAAGTTTGCTATCCAAGAGCATGCACATGAAACCAGAAAGACTTTTTAAGGAGAAAAGCAATACAATACATTGCTTACCATGTCTAAGTTTTCAGAAAGAAGCCACCAAATGCGGTTCATTTGTTCAAGAGCTGACAATCATGATTAGTTCAGAGAGGAGTTAATTTGATAATATTCAAAATAGAGAGAGAGAGTATTTAAAGACTAGATAAATACTGCAGTGAAAATATTCACGTGGAAAATCCGTGAAACAAATTGGTTTTCCACGTGCTGTGAGCCAAATGGTTTCTTCTTTTTGACCCGTACACCAGAAGTGGTCCTTACTCTTCCAGGAAGGAGAGGGGCAGGGGAAAGGCAGCGCCTGCCATCATCTGCGCACAGTGTATGCTGATGCCATCCCTGAGACTTGCCTAACACAGCCCAGTTGCCCAAAGAGCAGCTCAGAAGGGTTTCATTAAGATGGCCACCAGGCGGTCAAAGCTGTTCATGTGGGGGGAAGAAATACTTTCAAAGGCACTCAGATTGGGAACGCCCCAACCAGGAATGCACCCTAGTCATTATTCCTCCTTTGTACTTTGAGTGCCTCACCATCTCTTAAAGCCACAAGTCCATTGTGTAAAGCCTTTTTTTTTTCCCCAAGTCAGCAGATCAGCTTGCATTTGAAACCACATGGGGATGAAGAGAACCTCCCCATTTGGGAACTAGATGTGAAACAATCCTTGCCTGTCAACAGCACATTTGTGGCATCTCCAGTAGAACTGCCCCAGGAAATATCTGCAACTAGGATGCCAGTCTCATGAACCACCCAGGAAGGCTACCTTGAAGATTTAATTGTTGCTCAGATGTGAGCAAGTAGCATCATCTAGGTACCAAAAGATGGCCCTGAAGAATCATTAAAACAACAGCAACAACAACAACCACCTTGACCTAAATATTCCCATGACTAGCCATTTTCATATTGTGGAATGTTTCTCATTATAGGCAATGATGGAATGTTTCTCGTTATAAGCAATGAGCTACTGAATTTTATACTGATGTAATCAGTATGTCTGAATTCAATCCTGGCCCACGTGATGATGAACATATGATAGAAACTAAATATTGAAATCAATCTTCATGAACAAAGAATTCCCAGGGAGTACCAATCATTTTTCTTCTGAAGGAGCAGATGGTACTCAGAATCCTCAACTCCTTTAACAAAGGTTTATTGATCAGGTACTATGATAGAATCTGGGTGAATAAGATATGGTATCCATATTCTAAATGGAACTCAGATCAAACAGTTGGCATCATGTAATGAGTCGGAGGGTGGGAAAGGGAATATAAAAAGGGTAGCAACATTCATTCATTCATTCATCCAACAAGTATTTACCAAGAATCTACTATGTGCCTGGCACTGTGCCGGTACTGTGAATCTTGCTATCATAGCATTTACCAAAGAAACCATTTTCATTACCA